AAAGTAAAAAGTATAAATTGTCAATCAATTCAGTGTTACACCTTAGTTTTACTTAAGACCAACACATTAACACATAATTTACCCAACATTTTACATTTAAGGGCCACCAGACCTTGTTTACAAAAAATACACCCTGTTTTTTAGCGAAAATAAAACAAGAAAATTTAATATTTAATTAAATTAAATATTTAAAAAAAATTCTCACTAAAGTTCAACATACAGAGTGCTGTATGTTGAACTTTAGTGAGAATTCTTTTTTTGAACCATTTATAAATTTTAAATGGCAGCACATAATCACACCTGTGGTCCTCAGGGCTCAAAAATGACCCCGTTTGCTTTCACTGTTTATAAAGCAACAAGTATAAAATATCATCCATCTCTGTGTTTCAAGGTTTTATTCAACTTTATTCCAACTCATTGCCTGACAGTTTTCTATATTTTGGCATGGTAGGAACAGCAGGGCATGAGTCTGAGTGAAGGCAAACTTTCATGAGGACAAAGGCGTGTCCATATTTGACCCAAGTGCAGGAGGAAGCTCAGGTTTATTCCTCTGCACTGGTCCCATCATGGACAGCTTTCTTTCTGCAGTTGCAGGCCATGAGGCATATACAGTAAACAAACCTGCAATGTTAGGGACAACTCACGTTTCCTGACTGCAGGACAGACGGTTTGCCATCGCACACTAGCATGTTCCATGTACAGCTGGACCTGCATCACATGCTGCCCATGTTTTTGTCTCAAAGTTCCCTGGTTTACTTGGATGTTCTGTTGGAGGGGACAGAGTCCTTTGAAGGGGACTTGGTGCTCATACAGTCACATCAATACCAGGATCTTACATCACAGCAGGAGGAACACCCACTTGTGTTTCAAGTCAAGTCAACACCAACACACACCATACACCTCAAATGGGAGCACGTTTGTGTCATGAACGATGATCATCTATTGTGTCTTTATCAAGAAATTATGTCCTTTTTTTGCTTCTGTGATTAATCTTGTGTCACCTTTAAAACTTCTCTACCAGACTCAGGATGTCATAAACTGGCCGTAGCGACTCTACTGGATGCACGGCAGTAAGAATCAACACACCCACATATGCCTACAGCTGCATTCGGTCCATTTTTCTTCCTCTCTCGTTGTCCCTCCTTGTTCGTCATTGAGTTGGCTGTAGAGCAGGTCATCTGCTAATTGGATGGTTGTTGGTTCAATCTCTGTGTGCTCTAGTCTGGAGTTCTTACCAAGGTGTCCTTGGGCAAGTTACTGAACCCCAACTTGGTCTCTGATGCATCCATTGGCATGTGAACGTTAAAAAGCAGAATACAAGCAGAATACACTGTGTGTAATGCTTTCAGTACTCGAGTAGAAAAGCCACTGAAGGGGTATGGGACCTGGCACATGTGCTTGGACTGTGGTAGATCATCTTTCTCTGAGGCACATGAGAGAGTCATGCATCGTCTGTCACTGGGAAGGTTAGAAGACCAGATCAGTGTTTCCTCTTGTTACTGCAAATATTCCTCTGTCTCAGCTGACTCCTCTTTCCTGCTTGATTCTTTGTCTTCATCATAATTGAAATGGATGATGTGTAGTCCTCTGACACATCTTCTATTTCAGTTTCACATTCTGAAAATTCAAGAAACTTCAAGAAGCCCAGTCACTTTCTTTCCAAGCTCCTCAGACTACCATGTCCTGGATGCCTGAGAACCTACTTGAACATAGTTCAGATTCTTCATCACTTTTCTTCACTTCATAGCCTTCTTCCACTTCTGCAGGTGGCTGATGTGCTTTTTCAGAGAAAGGGTAGCATGTGCTCTAAATATTGACAATATTTTCTATATCTTCTAACCCTGGATCTTCCTGAACATTGATTCTCCCTCCTCATTATACTAGAGGACAATATGTGCTTTGTCCTACTGGTCATTGCTTTGCACAACATGGTAAAAAAAAGTATGCTCATCAAAGTATGCAAATCTCCAGTGCAATGGAGGCTTTTGAGGATACTTTCTGTGTATGTATTATTGTAGGGTCGACCTTACAATATGAAGCACTTTGATGCAGCTGTTGTTGTGATTTGGCGCTGTATAAATAAAATTTCATTGAATATAGAGCACCTGCCTCCTCATTGTGCTGCCTGTTGTGGTTGTTATGACCAGTGCTTGACCCCACACATCAGTGATCCAAGATCAAAGATGTTTGAAAGCAGTATGGTGTGAAAATACGGCTCTTTGCAACACTTTGTACTTTGGGGTCATTTTTGTCCACGAGGACCACAAGTGTTATAAAATCCAATAAAAACCCCATAAATAAATCAAATTACTTAAAACTTATTCCAATCATTCATAGTATAGTAATGAATAACTTCTGTTATTTTCAGACCATTTGATGAATAAAAAACACATTTTTGATAGCAAAAGATTTCTTTAGAGGACAAAAATGACCAGTGGACAACACAAGGATTAAGTCTGGACAAGTAGAATAACAGGATGCATCTGGAGGAACTGAAAGAGGAAGTGTTCTGTTTTAGTGACGCGAGGTACTGGTCATCATAAGTATAAATATTACACCCACCTATTGTAAGGGAAAGATGGAGCCTGATGTTTTGCAGAGCCTATCTTCACCACATATATGTGTTTTAATAAAATTATTTGTGTTGACCCACTATGGACTTTCAGTCATATGTCTCTTCCTCAAAATTCGAACCGCGACAAAAGTCAGAATACACAATGCATCACAGTTTGTTGCGTATGAGGCTGCACAGCCACAGAACAGCCAGGCGGTCCATGCTGACCCCTGATCACCACTGAAAGCAACAACAATGAGCATGTGAGCATCAGAACTGGACCACGGAGCAGGTTTTCTTTATGTGCGTCGCTTACCTGGGGAACACCTGGCACCAAGATGCATTATGGGAAGAAGGCAAGCTGGTGGGGGCAGTGTGATGCTTTGGGCAATGTACGACTTGGAAACCAAGGATCCTGTCGTCCATGTGGATGTTACTTTGACAAATACCACCTACCTAACCATTGTTGCAGAACATGTACACCCTTTCATCGAAACTGTATTCACTGATGGCCGTGTCCTCTTTCAGCAGGATAATATACCCTGCCAGAGAGCAAATACTGTTCAGGAACGGTTTGAGGTGTTGACTTGACATTCAAAGTTCGCCAGATCTCAACCCAGTCAAACATCTGTGGGAAGGAAATGTGCTGTACAAACATGTCTGATCGGTGGAAGCCCCACCTCACAACTTAGAAGACTTAAAGGATCTGTTGTTAACTTCCTGGTGCAAGATGCCACAGCAGACCTTCCGGTGGTGTCTAACTGAATACATATCTTAAAGGTTTAGGGCTGTAGTAGCAAAAGCAAACACAATATTAGGCAGATCTTCATGTTATGTGTGTATGTGTGTTTAATGTTTCCTAAGTAAATATATTTCCAAAGATCCAATTTGAAATTCTCAACAGATGTCCATTAATTGTTATGTGTAATAATGAGAATATAGTCTCTGGTCAAGTGAGACCAAAATTGAACTCTTTAGATTCCAGAATACACACACCATGTTTGGAGGTCAAAATGCGCTGCATATCACCCCTAAAACACCATTCCAACAGTGAGTTTAGAGGTGGGTACATAATGGTGTGGGGGTTTATTTCAGCATACGGCACTGGCACGCTTCATATGACCGAAGGAAGGATGAATGCGAAAATGTGGCGAGGAACTAATAAAAAACTGCTGCCACCTACCAGGATGATGAAGATGAAACGAGGGTGCACGTTTCAGCAAGCCAATGACCCCAATTGTCATTTCTCATTATTACACATAACTTAATTTCAAATATAAATCTACGGTTTGATTTCTTTGCATGTGTGGACTGGAATGGTTGTTGACCGACATCTGGTGATTACCTTTAGAAACACATTTACTTAGAAAATTGATGATGTGTTCAACAATTATTTGAACCACTCTGTACATTAAAATAATGCACATGAACAAAACTTTGGTAATACCAAAAGATGAGAATTAACAATCATTGTGCCAAAGTCTTTGGAAATCAGAGTAAAACATGTTTTGTAGGAATTTAAAAAAAAAAATAGCAGGAAAGCAAATCTTCAGTATTTGAAGAGTTTGTGTTTTAGAAAAATATATGAGTTCTTATGAACCCAAACAAAAATGTGTTTGAAACTGACGGATGGATTCACACATCACATTTAACAATATATCCACTATCATCACTATTTCTGGCTTTTTTTCCTCTCGGGGCAAATATAAGATAAAAGCATGTCTATCATTTGCTTGACGATAGGTGGAGGAGGATGGAGGGCATGAGGTAAATGGTGAGCTAAAGTCATTTGCCAGGCATCCACCACCAGAACGTTCAGCCCCTTGAACATGGTCCTGAGCACCTGATCGAGCTGCTGGGAGTACCAGTCGCTGTTGTAAAGGCTCACCTCCTGATCCAGGGCTTGAAGATTGGCTGAGCGGATCACTATTAGCGTCCCTGGCGCTCGGTCTATAAGTCTCACCAGCGCCTGTCGAATGTGCCGAAGACGCCGTATGTATATGTCCACAGGAAAGGTGCTGAAGTGGGACCAGATGCTGAGGACCACAACCACGTTGGGGCCCCCAGAGAGGCCGTCAAGCTCATTCGAAACGTACCGCAACTCGCTGGACATGACGGTAGAGAAGCGGATTGGAGGGCCGTGGCAGCGGTACTTCAAGAGAATATTATGTGTGCTGTCCACCGCCATGAGCGGTCCGACCTTTTTGGGATTGTATAGGTTGAACTCCTTTAATTCTGGATGAGATGGAATAAATGAAAGTTACAGTGGGTAGTGTAAGTGTCTATAAAATGAAATAAAAGGACAAAACCGCTCACCTGGTATAAAACCAATGAGATACTCGAACCACTGTCTCACAGTAGAGTCTCCGTACATGTTGATCACCTTGTTCTTCAAACACTGTACAGCTGCTGATGATTTGTTGAACTGACGCATTGTAAATCCATCTAATGGCCTCCAGGAGTCCATGTAGTAATATCCAGATGTTTCTAGCTGAATATGTTCTGGTTTAGCTGTGCTGTTTTCTTCCTCCACTTTATCTGAGAGGAAGTAAAGAATGCTGAAGACAAAATTCATTTTTAGATCACAGCAGGTGCTACAAATGTTCCTCTCCCACAGTACCGTACCTTTCTGTGGCAGCACGTTGATTTTATCAGGTCCTGAAGCGTGTATGTAAACTTTGAGATTTACACCACTAGGACAGATGGAAAAAAATGAATGTTAAAAAATAATGTCACATTTCCTACTAATATCGTGGTCGAGTTGCTAAGGCATAAACTCATCTTTAAAAGTCAGATAACAACTGAGTGCTGTTTTAGCTATTTTCGTATGTATAGATATACCAGAGAACTATTATCAGATCACCAGTAACAAATCTGCTGCAAGATTTGAGCTGCTAATGATGTCACCAGGGGGGAGGTAATGGTGCGCATTTCTACAATATTAAGGCCTTATTTTTAAACAGCTGGCACTAATGTGTTGCCCATCTTACACACAATGTGTGCAGCATGGGAAGAAAATAATCTATACTGCAGATGGTTTTATTTTAATGGTTTCTGACTGCAGACACTCATTGTTTGTGGGTTTTTTATGAATTAAGAAAAATAGGAAATCTCACCACACTTATCCTTTAACAGTAGATACAGTAAATAAGCATCCAAATCCTACAAAGCATACAAACCTTTTGAATAACAGCGCTTCCTTGTTGGTGATGAGGTTTTTCAAGTAGCCTCCCTTAGCATGGTTGATTCTGGTGTCACAGCTGAGCACCTTGGGCTTGTAGCAGTACCAGGGCTCGCCTGTGTGAAGGTCTGTGTAGTTGCAAAGAGGCTGATGGTTGGTAGGCAAGCACAGGTTGCACACAGTAGTTTCTGATAAAAGGCCTAAACGGAACACGCTCTTAAAAAACACCCGATCGGCCCGTTCCTCCCTGAGTCGTCGCAGCACAGCGACGGCCTCGCTGGAGTGCACCAACATGACTTCAACCTGTGCAGAGCCCACCCACAGGAGTGGGAACAGAGCAGAATAAAATCCATTCTTGTGGTCAACCACCTGCCCAACCACGGCCGCTCCAAGCTCCGGAGAGTGCAGCCTAGCCAGAAGGAAATCCCCGCCGTAGCGTTTAGGGCGACCCTGGAAGTCGTGCATCTGGATGAGGGCCTCTAGCTGATCGCCCACGTGCCACTCCCTTCCTTCTTTAGTGGGAAGTATTGCGAACAGGCTGTGGACAGGGTCGCTCGTCTGCCTCAGGGTGGTTGGTCCAGAGTGAGGCGGAGGGCTGGGCCAGCTGATGAGTTCCAACAGGTACCGCTCCTCAAGTTCATCCTCAGGGGAGGGTTTCTGGCCCACATGGGTACAGTAGGTGTGGTTGTGATAGAAAGGAGACACACTGAGGGATGAATGGATCCTGCTCTGCAGTTGGTAGAAAGATGAAATCGCTTGGCAGTTCCAGTTCTGAAAAGAAGAAGGGTAACTGAATGAATTTTAGAGGATACCACACTATGGGTTGTAGAATATTGCAGGAATAATTCAAGAGGAACTGCACAGATGCCAAGATAAAGATCACTGGTTAGAAGAAGTCCTACTCAGCCTGTGAAAGCAGTTTGATGCGGACAGGACTGAGAATAACAGAGCTGAAGGTTGCTCATAGGCAAATAATTTCCACATACTCAATATTACATTTTGGGAAACGTAAGATCGGGTATGATTGGAGCTCTTTACGACCCTTACAAAGGACTAAAATACAAAATATCTTAACTTTTGCTGCCATTAAATTGACTTGCCAACTTCTAATAACCATGCTTCAATCCTCTTAATCCATGAACCAAGCAGCAACATGAAAAATTAAGCCATTAGTGCCAAAAATCTAAGTTTCTCCATCCCCACAGACCCCCAGAGCAAAATGACCAACAAGTGAAAGTTGCTATTACATTCATGTGTTTTGTTTGTTTGTTTGTTTTTTATGTTCACACATATGGATTTTGTTAAAGCTTAAAGATTTGACCCCTACTAATTAAAGTCCACACATTTGACTGCTCAGCTGAGTTTGTACTACTGGTTCCCCCTTCTGGCAAAAGACAAGGCCTGCTGTATGTTGCAGCTTGTCCACGAATTCCAATGAGAAGTGTGTGAATTTCCGATATTTTATTACTCTTGGCACAAATTAGCAGGAATGTGTGTCTGTGCAATCCAGCTGTGGTTTATGTATGCAGCTTGCTAAACTTAGCTGATAACAGATCATTCAGGGTGACCTGAATGCTTCTTATAAGGGATTATATGCAAACTTTTAAGAGTGCAGCTCTGTTTCCTTCAGTAACTCAGGAAGGTCCCTTGTGGTTCAAAAAAGATCACAGAAACAAAAAGTGACAGGCCACAGAGTTGCAAAGCAGGGTCAAAGCGTGCTGACCCAGATAAAAGTCACCAGAGCACTGCAGACTCAAGCACAAAAATTGTGCCCCACAACCATTATGGTATTATGGCAGCTCCTTAATGCATACCCGATCCACTATTTTTGTCCATATACTCTGTTTTAGGAGTTCCCGACTGATTTCTGCAATAATATAAAAACAATGAAAAATTTGCCTGCTATGTGAATAAATCAAAAATCTTTTGAGACTTTTCATAACTGTCAAAAATGAAAAGAAAAAGCATGAGTTAAAGCTCACGGGTAGTTTCACTTCTCTCCTCACCTCTACTGTGTGGATGTTCCGCAGCAGGAAGATGATGCCAGACAGTGTGAGGAAGAGGAAAATCGGGGTATATTTGGACAGATTATGGCACATGGTGACCCTCTTCTAAATCCCATGATCACACTCTGCTGTCACCAGGACGACATAATGTCATTCCAACCTGCTGTCAACGAGAAGGACATTTTATATATATGTGTGTGTGTGTGTGTGACAGATGTTCTGTTCTTCATTATGCAGTTAACCATCTTCTCTGTGTGTCATACAGAAGTAAATAAAAATATAAGAATTCCTTTTTCAAAACAGCATGAAAAAAGCATTTGTCCCCTTCCTGATTTCTTTTTTTGTGGCATATTTATCACACTTGCATGTTTTAGATCAGAAAAAAAGTAATATTAGACAAAGATATCAGTCCTGCGACTGACTGGTGACCTGCACAGGATGTGTCCTGCCCTATGACATCTCTTGTCATAGGGCATAGTCCACTCTTGTTAAACTTTAGTTTTAGGGTTGAACTGAAGGCTCGACATTCACTTTCAGGATGTTCTGGTAGAGAGCAAAATTCCATCTGTGAAGGCATGTCATCCAGATCCAGAAGAAACAAAGCAACCCCAGACCATCACACAACTAGCATTACCATGTTTGACTGCTGGCAGTGTTGGGGAGTAACGGAATACGTGTACCGGCGTTACGTATTTCAAAATATGAGTAACTGTATTCCGTTACAGTTACCGTTTAAAGAGGCGGTATTCAGAATACGGTTACTTTGTTAAAATAAAGGGATTACACAGCGTTCTTTTCCTGTTTCATATGTCAGGCTATGCCCACTCTATTTTTGGTAACTCCACGCCGGTGGAAATCCAAACAAAACGAGGCTCTTTGTTTCAATCTCGCGGCCCACATCATCTCTGCTTGCTTACATATTTCCCATTCTTTAGATAGTTGTTGGAGGTGATCGCTGTTTTGTCAGATGACTTTGGGGCCAGTCAGTACCATCATGTCAGCCCTCAAAAGCACACAAAAGTTAGTCTTTTTTGTCCCGGTCTTGGTCTCGGTCTTGGTCTCGCCTCAACTTGGTCTCGGTCTTGGTCTCGTCTCGACTTGGTCTTGGTCTTGGTCTTGTCTTGGTCTCGATACCCTCTGGTCTTGGTCTTGTCTTGGTCTCGGATTAGGCGGTCTTGACTACAAGTCTAACAAAAAGTAAAGCTATTTTACAACTCTGACACGAATTACATGTTATCCAGGGGTCCCTTTACCACGGTTCGGAGCCGCAGAACAGTTTTCTATACAAGATCGCTGCACAAAGTGCAGCCTTACCTAATGTCCATCCTACTGTTACTCATCTAGTTGGTATTGGCGAGTAACCTTCAGTAATAGTAATAAATCACAGAGCAAAAACACATTCATGTAGTTGCAAAAAGTTTGATAATATGTTAAGTAATGTTATATACCTATGTGGTATGTGACTTTTGTTCCCATGATGCCAGGTCTCTCTTGGAAATGAGATTTTTAATCTCAATGAGATTTTTTACCTGGATCAATAAAGGATTAATAAAATAATAAAAGTAATCCAAAGTATTCAGAATACGTTACTCAATGAGAGTACATTACAAAATACATTTTGGGGCATGTATTCTGTAATCTGTAGTGGAATAAATTTTAAAAGTAACCTTCCTAACACTGACTGCTGGTATGATGTTCTTTTTATGAAATGCTATAGTTTTTCACTGTGGTTTCCCCAAGTCCCAAAGCCTTAGAAGTGGTTTTGTAACCCTTTTCATAATTATGCAAATTCTCATGACCATTGATCAACAACTGACCAAAACCCACTGATCAAAGACCACTGACCAATGGGGAATGGCTGCAATCACAGCATTGTAAGATGGCAAAAGATGCAACACTGTAACACTGTAACAAAGTCAAACCAGGATGTATGTGTGGGAATAAAGAAAAATATTTTACTGCTACATATAGCTTTCATCATTATCATTGCATTAAAACGTTCATTAAAGCTACTGGCATTACATTAAAACTTCTATTACAGGTGCGGCTATAACCATTTTATACACACATTGCAGATGTGCTCATGAAGAGTTGATGCTCAGTCTATTTAAGGGTTTTAAGCTAAGTTTGGCGCGATGTCGCGACGATCCCTGGTGTAAGTGACTTGGAGCAACAGAAGGTTAAAAAGGCATGCTCACAAACACAAATGATTTAAAGATAGGCCTGGAATTCATTTAGCTTCTTACCGCATTTGAGTTTGCCTAGTAACAGGTGACAGAAGAAGAGTCAAGAAGAGTGCAAGCCCACAGGAACCATCTGGAGGGTGAAACAAATTGCCATGTATGGAAGAACGTGATAGAAAAAGGAACTTCTCTGTCTATAATCCAGTTTTGAGTTCCCTCCCCAGACGCCTTAACGCCCACTCACATCCTGGGCCATCTGATCTCAGGAATTTGCATGATAAGGTGGGGCCAGGTTTCACAATGAACACACCCGAAACTCTGGCTGATTGGGACCCACGCCCAGTTTCCCACCTTGGCTCAGGCGATTAGAGGATCATCAGGGGGTCCTTTTGTCCCTCTGTGGGGGGTTTCTCCCACTAGGTTTATATCTGGGACTCTCCACCATTTGACCTTAGACCTGAAGAAGCTTCTCGGATGAGAGGTGAAACGTCTTCAAGCAACTTAAAGAAGTCCAGACGCTTTTCTTTGCAAGCTCCTTTGACTACGATGACCTGGATGACTGAGAACCTTCACAGACAACTTCTCTGTCTGTTTTTAGCTTTTTAATTGACCATTTACTGTAACTGATGCATGTCATATTCTTGTTAACGCATGAAGGGGCAGAACCCTGATGAATTAAAAGCAGTCTGAAGTGTATTTTTGGGTGAAGAGCTATGCTGATGTGTTGCAGTGTACATCTTCCCACGCGTGTGTTCAATAAAATCAATGTTTGACTGCATTCTTCTGGGCCAGTGTTGGTTTGTTCTTATCCTCAATATTTAGAATTTGGGACACATGCTTAATGCATGCTCAATCATCCAGGTAAGTAAATCCCTCAAAGTTGATTCTGTTCATCCGAATGTAGCTTTTTCAGTGGGATAAACATTTCGTCACTCATCCAAGTGACTTCTTCAGTCTCAGCTGACTGGAGGTTTCCGCAATCTTATAAACAGTACATTTGCACAATGACTGAAACTAGCAACACTGAAGGAACAATGGGCTGGGAGGTCAGTTCCTTTATCATTAATATGCAAATTCCCATGACCATTGATCAACAACCACTGATCAATGGTCATGAGTACTATTCACAGGGGGTTCGGGAATGACTGCAATCACAGCATTGTAAGATGGTGAAAACCAGGAAATCAAACCGACAAAGTGTATCAAGAAACCAGCAACTCTAGAAAGGAAGCCCTTCAAAAAGAGACCTTTAGAGTCTATCAAAACTAGAAACACAACCAAAATACTACAGTAAAACTAAAGCTCATTATATTATAAAATAGAAAATACAAGACCACAAAAATAACAACTTACAACAAAGAAAACCACGAAGTAGAAACTTCAACATCCAGTTAGCAGCAGTCAGAATTTGGCGTAATAATATGGCTGCCATGGCAGAAGTGAGGCCAACTGACAGCCAATTGAAAAGCTTCACGCAAAACTTTAAGACGTTTCATCCAATATATCTGTGTGTGTGTGTGTGTGTGTGTGTGTGTGTGTGTGTGTGTGTGTGTGTCTTACGCACGTATCTGAATATGTACACATGGCTTCTGAATATGTACACATGGCTAAAGTAGAGCTTTTTCCAACATGGCCTGCTTTTGTTATTCTTAACATAAACATAGATTTTAAAATATGGATGCTAATCTGTTGACAGAACAATAGCTGTGAATTAGTCCACATCAAGGTTATTGCTCTTTTTAACCTAAAAATATATATACAACCCACATTTCTGCGCTGACATGAGCACTTCTAGCAGATAAGGCGTCCTATTTCTCTCTGCAGTAATAGTCTGTGATAATGATTAGCGGCTCTTATTCTGGGTTAGGATGAAGCTCATCTCCATCTTGTAAGAGATGGAAATTTCTGTTTATATTATTCCTATTATTCAGCAGCTTTTGTCACACGAACCGCTGCGACGACGCCAACAAAGACACCGCAGATTTCTGCATATTCAGAACAAATGTTTGCTCATTTGTGCGCGCCGTACTTACACGTTACAGAGCCCCACCATGTCCGATCCCTGAAGCAGGATGAGGAGGATGGTAGCAGAAGAGCAATGTGGGCTTTAAGATAAGGCGATTTCCACTGGTCATCGCTCACGAGAGGGGAGGAGGATAGTATGTCCACGGTGGGTTGAGCTGTTACAGCGGATGCGCTTTCTGGCGTAACCCCACAGAGAACCAGGCTGGAATCGAACAGGTCACCTTACGCTTGGCAAATAAATAAATAAATAAAATCAATTAATTTATTAATTTTATTTCAATAAATTAATTGAAATAAAATCAATTAATTTATTTTTTCCCACCCATCATGATGAGGGTGGGAAAAAAGAAATTGCAGTGGATTGGGTGACTGAGTGGGTGCTACTGCGTCCCCAGGTGGCCACTCGGTATACTTCAGCTGTTCCTTTGTAACAGCAACAATAACAGTGATACAAAGAGAAGAAGAAGAGTAAGAAAATTAGTTTTGTGACGCAGAAAAAAAATCAGCACTTCCTGTGTGTCATGGTTCTGGTTCTTTGACTCAGTGTTTTGTGTTTTTTGGACTTTTGAATCGTAATTCATTGTTGTTTTGATTTTGAGAAGTGGGCTTGGTTTCTAGATTCTGTTTGCCCCCGTTGTATCATTTGAGCCCACAAGTTCAGCCCTCCTTGGGGTTATTTACTTCATGTTCCCTCAATGTTGTCTCTGTGTTTCATGTTTTGTTTATTTCCATTCACTCTCTCACTGTGCTACACACAATGTGTCCTGACATCCTGCCCAGTGACCCAGCTTTCAAAGTAATTAGCAGTCAGTCCACAGATTTCAAAGGATGTGAGTGTGAAAACTGGACCACGGAGCAATAGAAGAAGGTGGCCTGGTCTGATGAATCGTGGATGGCTGGGTGTCACTTACCTGGGAACACGTCAAGCTTGCAGAGGCAGTGTGATGCTTTGGGCCGTGTCCTGCTGGGAAACCTTGGTTCCTGACATCCATGTGCATGTTACTTTGACATCACCTATCTAAGTGTGGTAACAAACAATGCACATCCTTTTATGGAAACTATATTCCTTGTTTGCTGTGGCCTCTTTCATCAGGGTACTCATCAGTGGTTTGATGAACACAACAATGAGTTTAAGGCGCTGACTTGGCCTACATATTTCCCAAACCTCAATCCAATCAAACATCTGTGGGATTTGCTGGGTAAACAAGTCAGATCCACAAAGGACACACCTTGCATCTTACAAGTTTTAAAGGATCTGTTGCTAACATTTCAGTGCCGGATACTCAAACACACTGGCCAGGGTCTGGTGGAAAGACCCAGGGTCAGGGCTATTTTGGCAACACAATATTGGGCAGTTGGTCGTAATATTATGTTTGATCAGTGTAAAAAACTAGAGGTTAAATTACAGAGGCAAGGAAGAGAGCATTTATGACATGTGCAGAGGAGAGAGAGTGGAAATATTTGAACAAAGGATGCTGAATGCAGAGCTGCCAGGGAGGAAGATAAGACAAGGATCACAGAGAATGTTCATGGATGTAGTGAAGAAGGACATGCATAGGGTCGGTGTGGCAGAGGAAGATACTGGTGATATAGCACATTAGAGTAAATTGATCAAAAAGGTAGCACTTTTCAAATAATGGAAAACTGACTTTATGCTCAAAATATTTACAATCTTATTTTCCAAGTAAAATCTGTTACGAGTTCATTGCTTTTAAAGGCCACAGACATTCAGAAATTTATAGGCTGCTGTGTTCTACTAATTCTGATTTATAAGCCAAAGTAAGATGGATCGTGTCCTGGTATAATGATGGCTGCAGTGTGGTGGAGCTATATGGGGTAATGAAATTGAAAGTAACACACAGTGTGCTATTTGCCAGGGGGATAGAGGAGCTTTTCAAGGCAACACTCGATCACCATGGTCTAAACTGAAGTTTGTTAAATTTCAGAGATCCATTCATCTCAGAAGCATAAAGCATTTTGAATCCGTTCTTTTTTCTTTTTTTAGCAAACTTTATTTTTACTTTGGTTAGTTTTTTGTCAATGTGGCATGTATAAAATTTTCATTGTATAACTTTGTTGTTTATTGTACACTATACTGTTTTTATTCTTTATCCAGCCACTGTAGCACAAAAATTCCCTTGAGACCAATAAAGTATCTATTTATCTGTACTTGCATTATAGCTATGAGGTATAACAGATTATTTTAATGAACTGGAATTAGTGTAAATTAATTTACACTGATTTATTAAACATCTAAGAAATAATCACACAATAATGAGAATAACTGTAAATAAGACATTATAAAAATGAAAAGTAGATAGAAATTAGAAAATTATAAGTACATATTTATTTACATTTTTCACAAAATAGGGATACATGACATTTTTCTGTTGATTATCAGTTAATGCTGACCTGCAGTCAATACAAAGCAGGCCAGCCATCCACACTAGTTGGAACAACAGAGATATATAGTAAAGCATATGTGTCGTTACAAGTGCAATTCTTTAACACAGCAACTTCTACTTTTCCAAACAGTAGAAGTAACAGGTCACAACATGTCTGTCTTAGTAGGCAGAGGTAGTAACCTCTACTTTCACTTTACTGATACCTTCTTAAGTTACATCACATTCAGTGTCTTTACACAGAGAGGAAAATGTTCATTAATAAAAGAACGGATCAAAGTGTTGGAGTATAAAAAAGCACTAGAGCTACATTCAGAGGACTGTACTTGTTTCAATCTGGTTTTAGAGCTAAGACCACTGTTTTCTGGGTTATTAATTAAGATGACTGCAGAGAAAGATCTGTCTCTAAGCTTATGCTCAGTGTTAATTTACACACACTCAGTCAGTGGTTCTATACAGTTTTCTAACGGGTGAGGACTCTCAGGTAGAGCCAGGAGCTGATTTTGCTGCCTTCCCCATGGGGGAGCTAGTCTGTGCCACCTTGCTGGGTGATGCCGGTGAGGACGGCTGTGGCGTTTCTGTTCTATCGCTAACTGCTTCCTCTGCCTCCTCCCTCTGCTGTACAGAGGACAGATATTGCTCCAGCAGGCTGCAGTCTGCACTGTCTGCTCCATCGCTGCCATTAGCGAGGCCACTACAAACGGGGCTTAGCGCTCGCACTGTTTTCAGAGAGTCTGCTGTCCCACTGCTCAGGAAGCTGTCCTCTTGCGCCACCTGCTGATCGCAAGTCAACTGGAAGCCAGAGTCTGGGAAGGAGACATCTGTGCTGGGTGGGTTGGTGGTACTGGAAGCAACGGGTGGGGTGGCCTTGCAAAGTCCAGGGGATGAGATCTGAGCAGGGGTGGCGGCTTGCGTAACGACTGCCAGCTGCTGCTCCACAGACTGCTTCCACTGCTGCATAGCCTGGAACTACACACAAATCACACAGAACGTAAACTATGAATTTATGGACAGATTTCTTGAAACAATATTATACATATCTTACAATGTTAAACAGAAACTACCTCTTTCCATAGAAACTTCAAAGCTTCCTCCTGAACGAGCCTTTGCAGCCTCTCCTCCTCATACTGCTTCTGCATACTGCAAACAAACCAGATTCACTGTCACTGATTAACACCTATGCATTGCAGAAAGAGTATCACCAGTGCTGCTTGTCGGTCACTTACTGATCCAACTTCTCAGACAGGAAGAGGATGTGTTCCTGCATCCTGCGTAGACGGATTTCACTGCGCACCTCTCTGGCCATGGGGTGACAGCACCGCATGTAATGGCCTCTCCACCAGGACTGTATTTTAATTGCAGCTCTGTCTGCTTCTGTCACACTTGATTTACTCTCAACTTCTTCCTGCTTCTGAGCTTCTTTCACCTCAGCTTTAACAAAATCACTATCTAGGTCATTCTGTAGAATGCTAACTCTGACTCCTAGCAATCCACTAGATGTTGAATCTGTAGCAGAAATAACTTCTTCTCCTTCAAGCGTCTTTCTCTCGTGCTGCTCTACTGTGGGTGGATGCTGTGGATTGTTGGCGTTTTGCTTTTTGGACTGCGCTGGGTGCTTTGGTGCCAGGGAATCTGGCTCGAATGTCTCTGTCTCGTCCTCGCTGTCAGAGTGGGTCGATCGTGGCTCCAGATCAGATGTGAAGGGGATGAAGGTGGACTCTGACGAAAGTATGCTACTGTTGAGTTTGTCCTCACCTGTCGGCACATCCTCCAAATAAATTTGTTCCTCGCTGAGCCTTGGGCGACATACTATGGGCAGTGAAGGATTGGAAGAGTCAGAGCTCACCCAGGTGTTAAACCGAACAACTGGCTCTACAGGAGAGCAGACAAATCAACGATTAGTGCTACAACCTAATTCAAATACATGATTCTCACTGGTCTTGGACCAGGGTGCCAGGCAGGCAGCCCTCTTACCTGTCTGCGGGACTGATGGAACAGCTGGTCCAGGTACAGTGATATTCTTCAACTCTCTGGCTCCCCCTTGTGGAACTCTATGTGACGGACTGTGACTCTCCACATCAAGCTGAGTTGGTCGAGGAGGACTGCGACAGCCTCCCTGGGTCTCCTCCAGCAGTTGTCTCTGATGAAACCTGAGACAGTTATGAAGGATTAAGAATGATGTGTGCTACCATGACCAAGAAGTGGATACTGGGTAATGATTTTTTTCCCTTGCAGTTTATCTATATTAAGATTTCAACCTCTGTTTACTGAGAATCTTCTCCAATTTGGCATCCTCAGCTGTGATGGCAGGTGATGCCGTCACAGGGCAGACAGTGGCCAGGTACTGCACCAGTTGAATGTGCTGCCCTGGTCGATATGAGCGACCTTTGCCCTGACTGTAGAGCCACTCAGCTTTCAGACTGTAAATTTAACAATAACACACAGCAAAAAAGAAAAAAAAAAGACACTCAGGCATTCTGATGCTTTTGTACTGATGATATTAAGCACGAGAATATACACACCCCTCTTTCTGTGTCACTACATAGCCATCCAGGACCTTCAGGCTCAGGCACCAACTCATGACATATGGCCGATAGTCGAAACCAGGCAGAGATGGGGTCGCCATAACACAAGGGTTGCTCATGATGGAAAGCTGCTCCAGCTCATGAAGTGGCGCCAGGTATGACATCTGGAGTAATCAGTTTATAGTCAGTCATAGTAATATTAGGTAATTTTAATATAACCAGTGTGACTGTATTAAATAAGGGAGAACATAATTACTTCATTAAGATCCCTAATCTCATTTTCTGC